GAAGAAGCACTTAACTAAACAACTCTTCTCGGTTTTACGTACAATCTTAGGCTGTTTAAGTAAGTTAGCTGTTTAGAGCTCACTTAAACAAGGGGAAAGCAAGCAAAGCTAACTACTTATTCTACCTATTTACGAAGGTAAGCCTAAACAACAACTAAATATATAGGTCTTAATAACACCTTGAAACTGAAGAGTAATACACAAGTAGAGATCTCGCATTCTATGAACAGTCTTCAGAGGCTTGGACTTGGTCTCCAAACTGAAGGACTTGAAGGACTTGATGGACTTGAAGGCTGCCCATTATCCTCACGATTTTAACTGTCTAGAATTATTGGATGAAGATCTGTGATTTCAATAAAAATAAAATTTGGAACTCCCCCTCTAAAGTTATGTCCATTTCTTTATTGAACACTTTGATACACATAGGTTTATTGTGCCTTATTGCAGACCACTTTACCTATAGTAATAACTACCTAATAATCATAAACAGGTTGTATTGTGAGGCTGAAGTATTGAACTATACGAGAAATCAACTTTAAATTATTCATACATGAGAATCGAGGTTGACCTAGAATATGCACTGATGAATATATGTATGATTAATACACATATTCATTTCTCTCGCAATTATAATAATTATAAGTGTATATGAATATTGAAAATAAAATGAACAAGTTCATGAGTAGAATTAAACATTTTGCGGCTGTTATTGATATAAAAGTTAACATGTGACCAATTTTGATCAGGTAGTTGGCGGAGGAAGTATAAATACCTTGGAAATACTCACACAAATTAATCAGTATCGTTCGAGTGACAATTAAACTGATCACCATTGGCAACATTATATCAACAATCAGCTATCGTGTGAGGACACAGGGGCCGGCCAACCAGCTATCGAATCTGGCGTCATTCTTAGGAAACAAGGCAGTACAAGAGCGACAAACGTGACCTTACTGATAGATCTGCTGAAGAACAACAGAACCAATCATCACGAAAAGAAGATTCGGGTCCTATATAGATTATAGACCTTCGGGTCTATAGTGAGCACCCACACTAATTAAGCCACCTCCACACACGCGTTTCAGCACGCGATCAAAACTGGAATAACGTTGGAAAAGTTTGGTAAACACCTGGAAGATGACTAGAATCATTTACTTTCCATAAAGTGGAATTACAAACATGTGCTCAGACCTCCTGGTTTGACGCATGTAAACACTACATGTTGCGGGTTGGTGTGGCAGATGTTGATATCGTTGGTGCAGTGCTTGACCTTGGTACTCAGCCTATGCATGATAGCATATCTATCTTATTTTAGATATCTAGTTTCTATCAGTTGCATATGATAAAAGTCTCTGTGTTTGAAGCGCTGACATGTATGTTGTCTTATCAAGATCGGAGGTTGTTTCAAGAGTAGGTTAGACATGTATATGAATGAGTTTGGGTGGAAATAAATAGGAACTGCCTCAAGTGGGCCAATAGGAGCTGCTTCCTGCGGGTCAAAAGGAGGTCAAATAAATATCAGGAGAAAGCACTAAGCCATTACGACTATATACCACTTTGAAGGGATCAGGATAAGGATTTAAGATAGGACTGAGGAAATGAATGGTACCCAACCACTTGGACGGTCGGGAACTGAACGCCGACCTGAAAGAAGCCAGACCGACGCTATACCGTCCAGCCCAAGTGGTTAGGGCCAATAGGAGCTTCCACGCGTGGACCAATAGGAACTGCCTCGCATAGGCCAAGAGGTCTTTAATAGTGGAATTTACTGACATTAAGTTCGGTTAGGGTGGTGGTGGTGTGAAGTGTGCGAAAATGTGCGAAAGTGAGCGAAAATGCTCGAGTGATGTCGCCATGAAAGACGGATAGTGACATTTAGAGTCGACTGTTCACCGCCCGAGACTTTTGCCAGGCTGACAAATGTCAGTCACGTCATCCTCGTCTCCGTGATTTGATATAACACTAAAAATATTGTGGAGGGAGGAGAGAGCGTCACAGTTAACGGCTCGTGATGCACGTTAGCTCACGTTAACAACGAAGGCAACGTACACACACACACACACACACACACACACACACACACACACACACACACACACACACACACACACACACACACACACACACACACACACAGATATGACAGAGCCCAGTAGGCTCAGGAATCTGTACACTAGTTGATTGACGGTTGAGAGGTGGGACCAAAGAGTCAACGCTCAACCCCCGCAAGCACAAATAGGTGAGTACACACCCACACCCACCCACACACACACACACACACACACAGTGAGTACATATTCACCTGGAGTTCAATAACATGACCTGGGGCCTGAATCACGAAACAGTTACGCAAGCACTTAGGAACCTGTACATCTTTTCTCAATCTTTTGCAGCTTTGTTTACAATTATTAAACAGTTAATGAGCTCCGAAGCACCAGGAAGCTGTTTATAACAATAACAACAATTGATTGGGAAGTTTTCATGCATGAAAACTGTTTAATAAATGTAACCAAAGGCGTCAATGATTTAGGAAAGAAGTACACGTTCGTAAGTACTTGCGTAACTGCTTCGTGAATCTGGCCGCAGGTGTAGTACCTGCTCCCAGCACGAAACCCTAAGATGGCATCATCCGAGACGTCTGTGCAATAGGCTTTAACCTCCGTCTTGGCAACCTCGTCTCCATTGTAAGGAATTAAGCGCAAGATTTCATTGCGTAAACTTAATTGCTGCTTCTCTTAATACCCGCCCCGGTCTCCTCAAGCAGCCCGTCCTCCTAATGTTTCCCATCGTCAAGAAAACGGTCAATTTATAAAGTGTCCTAACCTACCAGAGGACCCAAAACAGAAAACGGGACAGTGCGTCACCTTCGCGAGCCGCTTCCATTTTCTAGTACGACAATTTTTGGCCTTAAGTTAACGCATACGAGCGAAATCCGACGTTCATTGAAAGAGGACTGGTTGCTTCAAGAAGGTTGCGTTGGCTTCAGTAACATCCAATTTTCTTTTCTCTAAGTCTCCAAAAAAAAAAAAAAGCTACGGGCTCACCATAGCCCGTGCTACTTGGAACTTTGTTCCAGGTAGCAAATCTTTAACAACAACAACATCTAAGGCTCCACAATGCTTGCCCGAAGTGTTGTGCGTAGTATTGTTTCATTGTATGTGTGTAATTAACCCCTTTATCTACAAATATACCTGTCTCATGTGCTTTATATATGCATTTATTATAAATAAAGTATTATTATAATTATTTATAACCTTACTTCAATACCGTAATATTTTAAATGAAGGTGAAGAAAAGATTAAATACATGTGTAGATGTATTATTATTAAACCAATTTTTCGGATGAACCTAAATACTTTATCAAGATGCTGTAAACAACGTTTTTTGTTTACAGGACCTTGATAAAGGTTGTAGGTTCGTCCGACAATTTGGTTTAATAATACACTGACGCGTGTATTCTGCGTATTTACGTATGTAGGTTAGCTTAGCATTTTAAAAGCACCGAATCACCTTCTGTGGTTGAGTGTTCAATAAACCCTTGAACTCTGTTTAACATTTAAAAAACGGTGTCCATGGCGACAGAAGACTGATGTACGTCTGGTTAGCATTGTAAACAAGTGGCCACTTCACTGACGAAAAAAAAAAAAAAAAAAAAAAAAAAAATACAAAAAAAAAAAAAAAAAAAAATGACCCAAAGGTGATTCCATGCACCCACCAAACCCCAGATGTTTATGAATAAAAAGCGGTTTACACACGACTTACAACTGATGACGTCCGAACACTTCCGGAACAAGTGCTTCACTGACGAATTTTGTTCGAACCACAATGCTGTAAATGCTTCACCCACGTACTACAAATACAAATAATCGCCAACAGAACCTAAACGCCTAACCTAACCTAACCTAACCTAACCTATGCCTATATATGCACAATATGCAAATACATTATAATATTAATTTATATTTGAGAAAATTCCCGTTTTGAATGAACATAATGTTAAAATTGATGAATGTGTCTGTGGGGTCGACCGCTGGATGTAATGGACTTGAGACGAGGACGGGTTGATGTATTGAGTCTATTCTTCACCTTCATTATTATTATTATTATTATTTTCTTTACTTGTCTTTTTCGCATCCCATTTTCTATATGATGTTTTCTGTGCTCACCATCTTCACATGGAATGTTGTCTGTCATGACGTTTTCTATGTTCACTCCCTTCCAATCCCATTTTCTATAACCTCCGCGATATTACAAGGGGTAACTTCAGGTTGTATGAGAAAGTAGAGTGAGTGGAGGAGTGACTTAACTGTTCCCTAGCACTTTGTCTCCAAGTCTCATCAGCTAAGTGGGTCTGGCGCTTCGCTATATTTTTCTGTCTCTCTAATCTATTACGCGTGTCTATCTCTCCCATGACGGTAAATTTAACTTTAATTGGTTTCTGTGTGACCTTCTGCAGGCTGTGGAAAATTCTGATTTGTCGAGTTTTGAGATTTATGGATCACATAGTACTGTTTTTCCCTAGCCAGATGCACCGAGTCTGCTTATCTCTCTCTCTAACTGTACCGAGTCTGCTTATCTCTCTCTCTAACTGTACCGAGTCTGCTTATCTCTCTCTAACTGTACCGAGTCTGCTTATCTCTCTCTCTAACTGTACCGAGTCTGCTTATCTCTCTCTCTAACTGTACCGAGTCTGCTTATCTCTCTCTCTAACTGTACCGAGTCTGCTTATCTCTCTCTCTAACTGTACCGAGTCTGCTTATCTCTCTCTAACTGTACCGAGTCTGCTTATCTCTCTCTAACTGTACGAGTCTGCTTATCTCTCTCTCTAACTGTACCGAGTCTGCTTATCTCTCTCTCTAACTGTACCGAGTCTGCTTATCTCTCTCTCTAACTGTACCGAGTCTGCTTATCTCTCTCTCTAACTGTACCGAGTCTGCTTATCTCTCTCTCTAACTGTATTCTGATTTACAAATTAACAGTCACTCGTGTTTACCTCTCAGTGCCTCCGGTAATCGATGACGCAAGAAGCAGCAGTGACGTCACAGTCAACGAGGGACGTGACGTAATGATGACGTGTGAGGCCCGTGGCGATCCTCATCCAATCATACGCTGGATAAGAGAAGATGGGCAGAAATTCAACCTTAACTCTTCTTTAAGTGGTGAGTTGACAGCCAATGGCTTGTCGGTACTGGCGATCGCATAATTATAGCAATTGTCTCAAATTTATCATCAGCTTAAGAGATATGATAATGTTTGTTTTAAACACTTATTTTGTAGCCAATAAATTTTAACGTAATTAAATTGTAATCAATATTCTGATTTATTTCTGAATACAGATTTAAATTTGTTATGTCTTTCATATAACATGACTCCAAGGTAATATTTCCGTAGGACAATTTACGTGTTTTTATTCATGTGTGCAGACGATGAGTCACAGCAACATAGCTGAAGACATGTTGACCAAACCACACGTCAGAAGACGGAGCAACGACGACGTTTCGGTCCGTCGTGGACCATTATCAAGTCGTGTGATGATAAAGATCCAGGACGGACTTGATAACGTTTTCTTTATGTTATTCTTCACTTGACCAGGAAGTCGAAAAAAATAACTCTGCAAAGTTCAGTTTACGATTGTATTTTGCCTGACGCTAAAATATGCGTTCCGTTAACTCTTGTTAACATTACCAAAGGTAGAGTTCGAACTCTCTGGGTTCACTAAATTCCCAGTTGCATCTGTAACCTAGATGTAGTCTATATAAGCGAACTGCTATTTTCCTGTGGATTCCTTTCGGGGTATTTAACCTGCCTAACTTGGTGGCCTGAAGATGGCATATTGCAGAGGGCGAACCTTCTGCTCCTCTCTGGTGAAGATGGGCTTTGTTGAGGTGTGAGAGTGTTTTGGTGATGGTGTTTTTAATGTACTCTAGGCTGGGTTGGATTCTTTTGTGGATGACGAGTTGCCAATTTAGCTGTTTCGTCGGCTTTCTCGTTTAATGGGATTCCAACATGGGATGGGATCCAGTTTAGGGTGACGTTGAGTCCTTTGCCCTTTGCTACTGCTAGTTACAAAGTTTCCAGCCGCTGGATAAGTAGCCGAAGATGATGTGAAGGTGAAACACTCATCAATCTCTTATGTTGCCATGATGGCTGGTGCTGTGTGTTCCGTCGTGCTGTGGCAGTTGGCAGAGTGTAATGTGGTGGTAGTTGGCTATTGGTGCGTGGCTTGGTGTGCTTTATGTATAGCGCCTCGCAGGTGTCCAGTCTTGTGTTGTCGCTGTATCTGTCCATTATTGTGGTGTTGTTGGTGAGTGTATCTCTGGTGATGGTGTATAGAAATTATATATTCCTACATAGGACCTTGTTGTTTGTGCACTGTTAGGCGTCTTGAAAAATATGTTGTTGTCTTGCCTATAAATTGAGATCGTTTGGGCAGACGGCCCCCAAGTGGGCATGTGAAGGCATGGACGACATTCGTCTCATTCAATGGGCTTTGTTTAGTGTGAGGAAGGCGTGCAACCTCAGACAGTATATTACCGGTCACTAGTGTTAAAATAATCAACAGGAACATCTTCTCCACGACCCGCAAGACACAAGAGCGGGATCTGAAAAACAGTTGATAGAAATGTGACCCTTATTGACCAGAACCAGAAGACTGAACTAATGATAGTCTATAAGAGCAAGATGACTGCCAACTTGCTCATGAAGAACTCTCCTGACACCAAACAAAACCTCTTGAAAGAGACCAAATGTCGTCTATGCCTTCACATGCCCACTTGGGGACAATCGGCCCCAACGATCTCAATTTATAGGCAAGACGACAACATATTTTTCAAGACGCCTAACAGTGTACAAACAGCAAGGTCCTATGTAGGAATATATCATTTCTATAGACCATCACCAGAGATATACTCACCAACAACGCCACAATAATGGACAGATACAGCGACAACACAAGACTGGACACCTGCGAGGCGCTATACATAAAGCACACCAAGCCACGCACCAATAGCCAACTACCACCACATTACACTCCGTTATCTCTGAAAACTTGACGAAACACGATATACTACGTCAACCATCATGGAAACATTGAAGCTTTATATATCCTGCAGCGCAAGAACGTTTAACTGTTCGAGCTCTGCCTTTAATAATATTATCAAGGGTTAGCGAAACACACGTCAGCGTTAGGACTAATAATATTGAAAACTTTGGAGAGTTACTTTTTCAACTTCCTTCTCAAATGTAGAAAAATAGAAACGCATTGGCCTAGAATTATGGATTTCACCCTTTCTGTTAGATTCAGTATTGTATATATATGTGTACATTATATAACACACACATATATCTATATCTATATCTATATATATATATATATATATATATATATATATATATATATATATATATATATATATATATATAGTATATTTTGGTAGCAGTCTTTCCTGTAGACATATATTATTAAATATTATATCCTGTAGATATATTTATATATATATA